GAAGATCTGTTTGCGGTTAACTATGTTTTTTAAATGATAACCCCCTACTTTTAGCAGATATTGAAGTTTCTTTATTATTATTTACAATTTCGACTTATAAAAGAGATGCAGAACCGACTTAGGGATGATTTTCAAAAATCGCTTTCACCAAAAATCAAACTATTATTTCGACTTAAAATTTTCCGCTTTTTTCATTTCTGAAGTGAAAAATAGAAGTTTCTATTTAAAAAATTATTTGACCTTCAGATAACCAAGGCGATCCCGAGGTGACCCCCAACAAACCGAACAACTTTTAAGGTTTATTTTCACGAAATGACCTCCCTCCCTCCGAAATAGTTGACTGGATAAATTAGTTCATGTTTCAAAAATACTTGTGTGCAAGTTCCTCATGGAAAAATAATAGTGGTAGTTCATGTAGTTTTTTTCTTAGACGCCCTGTTTTCGAGATACAGTGTGTTGAAGTTGTTACTTTCCATATGGTTTTCCTTAATTACGATATCTTTAAATCGGCTAAAGATAAAAATGTCAAAATTTGTACACGAGTAAACATAAACTGTACGTTAAGAATTATGTGCGACACTGCTTTTCAGAAGGAAACCGTTTGCACATTATTCTTAACGCACAATTGATGTTTACCCGTGTACAAATTTTGACATTTTTATCTTTAGCCGATTTAAAGATAATTAAGGAAAACCATTCAACCAACTTCAACACACTGTGTCTCGAAAACAGGGCGTATAAGAAAAAAACTTTACATGAACTACCCCTATTATTTTCCCCTGAGGAACTTGCTCACAGGTTTTTTTGAAACATGAACGGGACACCCTGTATATACAGGGTGATTCAAAAAACCGCTATATATATATACACAGGGTGGGCCATTAGTGTGAGAAAGTACACTAACTCCCTTGTTACTTATAATACAGAAAAAAAGTTTATATAAAAGTTGTACAGAATCAAGAAACCTAAACTACAAAATTAATTTCAAACATACAGGGCGATGAGTAAAAACGGGACACGCCAAACATTACATTTTTTAAATGGAACACCCTGTATATTTTTAAACAGTTGGATTTCTGAAAAAATTCTATATAAGGCAATATAAACAGTTTATCATTTTACTGCTGGGTTGCCAAGTTATGTAGAAAATTCTTAGAATTTTGGAAAAAACATGACCTCGAAGAAGTTGTATTAACTTTCAACTACTAACACTTGGAGCAAAAATATTTGACAGAGTTATAGGCAAATGTTATACAAAGGCTCCTATATTAGCTAATATCGATATTTTATACAGGGCATTTTTTATAAGACGATCATTTTTAGAAAGTTCAAACTTGATTTTCTAAAATTTTTCAAATGGAACACCCTGTATTTTATTGTTCTATTTTATTCACATATCGGTCCACTTCAACTTTTATTAAGCATGTTCTATATCTAAAATTGTTAGTTTTTAAGATATAGCAACATTTCTGAAAAAACTTAATTTTTATTATTTTATAGAATACCACAAATAAATATTAACTAATAAAATTAACTCAAAATGGAATGATAAATTATGAACTGACAAGTTGACACAATGTGACAGTTTTTTCCAAAGCCATCTCGTGCGACCGAAAATAATAAAAATTAAGTATTTTCAGAAATGTTGCCATATCTTAAAAACTAACAATTTTAGGTATAGAACATGCTTAATAAAAGTTGAAGTGGAGTGATATGCGAATAAAATAAAACGATAAAATATAGGGTGTTCCATTTGAAAAATTTTAGAAAATCAAGTTCGAACTTTCTAAAAATTACCGTCTTATAAAAAAATTTCCTGTATAAAATATCGATATTAGCTAATATAGGAGCCTTTGTATAACATTTGCCTATAACTCTGTCAAATATTTTTGCTCCAAGTGTGCTTCTTTGAGGTCATGTTTTTTCCAAAATTCTAAGAATTTTCTATATAACTTGGCAACCCCGCACTAAAATGATAAACTGTTTATATTGCCATATATAGAATTTTCTCAGAAATCCAACTGTTTAAAAATATACAGGGTGTTCCATTTAAAAAATGTAATGTTTGGCGTGTCCCGTTTTTACTCATCGCCCTGTATGTTTGAAATTAATTTTGTAGTTTAGGTTTCTTGATTCTGTACAACTTTTATATAAACTTTTTTTCTGTATTATAAGTAACAAGGGAGTTAGTGTACTTTCTCACACTAATGGCCCACCCTGTATATACAATAATGACGCTAAAGCCGAAAATCAGGAGAGAAAACTTTTTGTTCTATAAGGTGTTATACATTCATCGGCATCTGAAACTCGAAACTTTGCCAAATTTGTTCGAAGCTTTGCTGACACTTGAAATTTGGTACACACATAGTGTAAATATGCACAAACCATTTTATATGAAAATT